CAACGAACTCGAACATTGAACCCTCTAACTTGTCATAAATGTTGATTATGTGACATATAACGGTAGAATTGACATAAATTATATGATATACGTGGTGAAATCACAAGTCACGATCTACATTTGTTAGAAAATATAAGTAATGAGCACATCTCTCGAATTTTGTAAACGACATGTCCATCCTGCAATTTTAATGAGTCCAGCTTATCTATTATCGGGATTCGGACTGGTCGTGGCTGCTTATACTCGTGTTTATAGACAGACAACATAAGTGTCATTTAAATGCAATTTTGTAAACGACATGTCCATCCTGCAATTTTAATGAGTCCAGCTTATCTATTATCGGGGCTCGGACTGGTCGTGGCTGCTTATACTCGTGTTTATAGACTAACAACATAAGTGTCATTTAAATGCACGTGTGCAGTTCTATTGGTTTCTCCAATATATGCTTCTTTTACAGCATAACGAACTCAAGCATTGAAAAGCTTAACTTAAGAAAGTCAGAAACGTTGATTATGTGACAAATAAAGGTAGAATTGACACAAATTATATGATATCCGGTGGTAAAATCACAAGTCATGATCTACATTCGTAAGAAAATATAAATAATGAACATATCTCTCAAATTTTGTAAACGACATGTCCATCATGTAACTTAGACAGAATATGGCACACGTGTCGTTTAACGACATTTGTGTCGTTTTGTTGATTTCTCCAATATTTTGATTATTTTCCAACACAACGAATTCAAACGTTAGACCCCATAACTTAAGAAAGTCAGAAATGTTGATTATATGGCAAATAACGGTAGAATTGACATAGATTATATGATATCTAGTGGTGAAATCTAGTCATGATCTCAATTCGTTAGAAAATATAAGCAATGGGCATATCTCTTAAATGTTGTAAATTGTTGTCCATCCTACAATTTTAATGAGTTCAACTTATCAATTATCGGGGCTGGACGGGTCGTGGTTGCTTATACTCGTATTTATAGATATAACGGCACAAGTGTCGTTTTCTACACAGTAACGACACTTCTACCGTTCTCATGAACAAATTTGTATATCATTATGACGACAATGACGTCGATGTACAGCGACGTTCACACCACTGTGAGCGTCGTTGCACATGACATTGTGCAATGCCGCTACAATGTTGTGCAATGCCGCTCCGTGGTCTTCCGATGTCTCTCGACAATGGTGTTCACACATGATAAAGAGAGATGAACGAAGAAGGAAAATGATTTAAGGTTTGTGAGTGAAATTAGGTGTGGTTGGTGGTTGGGTGCGGTGGGATGGGATGGGTATGTAAATTAATTTAATTTTATAATACTATTATTAATATTAAAAATTTGAATTATCACCTAATTTTTGAATAAAGAATTTTTAAACCTAATTTTTAAATTGAAAAGTTAAAAAAATTGTGTGGGTTTAATTTCCGCTTTAATGAATAAGAAAAATCGAAACTTGTATAAAGTGGCTGACCTAACTTTTTGTGCTCAAATATGAACAAATTACCATAGCCAATTCTTGAATTACTTTAAAAAATTTTAAAAATTATCATGCCCCCCCCCCACCCCCACCCCCATCTTCTTAAGTGCGGAACGAGACGTGGAAAAGATGCCTCCACCCCAAAAATTGTCAAACAATGTCGACATCAAGTTTCCGACATATTACACTTTGAAGAGACTCGAACCTTCACACTTTGCCCTTGTCTGATCCCCATTATTTTCAAAATACATTTATCTCTTTCTCATTTTCAACCACATTCTTTAATAAAATAATACTACACACAAACTCAAAATTTTTCCTTATTTTTTACCCACATATTCTCATCACAATACTATTGTAAAATGTATTATCACTACTATATAAAAGAGCCACTTTGTTTTTCACTATTCATAAGTCGTATGTCCATTCTATACCGAGCCGCGTCAAGAGCCGAGCCATTTGAAATTGTGTTGTGGTTCCAGAACATTCAAGTCAATTCCTTCAATGCCTTCATTTTTTTCATGCAAACCATCACCTCCACTGTAATATTTCTCCATTTTCACACGCAATGCAATATTTCTCCATTTTTAAATGCATTAACTTACTGAGTAGCAATTGTGGATCGAAATGGTAAATGGGTAAGAGAAGGGTTTATAACCTACGCCTATATTGTGCTCTATATCATGCTTTCCAGTGGCCAGATCTTCTTCAACAAGGTACTATTGTTGTTTTCAATTTCTTACTTTAAAAAATCTATGACTGTAAACGTATGTAAGCATTGTGATGATCCTAATTATATCTTGTTATTTAGTGTTCTACAACAATACGATTAGAGGAAAAAGTTATATAAAAATAAAAAGTAGTGCGGAGAATTTCTTCACAAGCACGAAGAATCCTCTCCGTTCAATCCTCTTCGTTCAAAATGGAGGCCTCTTCAATAATATAAACGCTTGTATGTGTACTGTGCATTTGACATGTGTCACCAAATTGGATCATCAACCAACACGTTGTCGTTTGGATTTTGGGTGGTTTATCCTTCCAGCGATCTGTTCTGGCTGCCTTAGGAGATATCAGAGAAAGGATAAATTCAAGAACCCACCAAGTGAAATCAAGAATCAAAGATGGCACTCGCTAGAGAAATCATGGGCTCTTCTTTAACGCAGAAATCTGCATTTCTTGGTTCATCAAATTTTCTTGTAAATCGTAAGCACGACCACTGTTTTAATCTGGTTCCTGCCCAAAGAAAGAGATTTCAGGTGAAAAGAGCATCAAAGGTTCCTATTCTTGTCGCAGCAATCAATGAGGATTTCGATTTTGGTAAAAGTGGTGCCTAATAAACCGGTGAAATTCAAGGTCAGAACAGTTGTTACTGTAAAAATAAGCACAATGCATGCATTGAAGCTTCAACCTTGTCTGCAAACTCAAGTGCCTCATGTTCAGAGCCTATATCAAGAGAATCAAGAAGACAACCCGGGGAAAATTTTCCTATGGTATACATGTGGCGGTAAATATTATCTCCCACACTTGTTTTTCCATTCTAGAATCACCAAAAATGATGTTAGAGAATTGATTACTAAAAGTTTTCTGGTCTATGTAATTGATGGACAGTGAAGCTTTGTGAATTTGGTAGGCACAATCGCCCTTTTGGAACAAATGTTTCATTGATTTCTTAGATAGGTCAGTAGAAGAAACACAATGAACCGGCAACCACCATTTTTGATCTATTCGTTGAGGCTGAAGTATCCTCCTGAATGATCCAGAACGCATTGAATTTCCTGACATGCTTCCAGGATTTGCATACCAAAATTCTGTCTCCTCGAAGCTGTCTAGTGTATCCTATGTACAAAAATAATTTCATTAGCCATTGCAGCAGAGAGGTGCAAGGAGGAGAGAGGTGCAGCACGGAGAAACTCTCGGTGCAGCACGGAGAAACTCTCTGTGCTGCACGGAGAGTTCTTTACTCTCCGTGCTAAACGGAGAAGCACGGAGAGAACTCCGTGCTGCACGGAGAGCTGCACATTTCCATTTTCGAGCCGACTTTCCTCAGCCGCTTGGAAGTCAATTTGGGTCTTCCTTTTTGCTTTTGTGGTTCCAGAACGTTCATTTCATCTGATTTCTCTTTTCTTTCTAGATGTCAAAACTCTTTGGTTCTGGATCTAGTTTTCTTTCAAGAAATTTTGAAAATTTGTTTACGGGATGAGCGTTTGTTTTGCTTTTGTAGTGCAGTGTTCCTTTTGCTCTTGTGGTTCCAGAACATTTATTCTTAGAGAGAAAAATCAAAGGTTTTCCTCCCTATAGCACCCGTCACCGTCACACCTACACCAACCCCTAAGAACTCGACTCTCTTCTCCAACCGTCGGCATCGCACCAATAGAAACCGACAAGAGCCCAAATAAAAACAAAAATCATCGTCTTCGGGTTTATTAATCTTTAGCTTTGTTCATATTTCTTATCCACGTGTATTTTTTTTTATTTGTAATTTGAACCCAGATCCATCTAAAAATTTGGGGGTGCTGAGTGGACAAACTTTGATGTACATGGTTGGAATCTTGATTAGATCTAATATATCTTCACAGGCTTACTTTGAACTGTTTGAATGATTTTCTATTGCTGTTTATATTTATTTTGTTAGGTGAGTTTTGTGTTGTGAATTTTCTTGAATTGAAATGGTTGTGGAAGACATGACAACTCATAAATAATCTTGGACAATGGCTGAAGATGTATGGACAAACTTATGAAATATGAATATCATTCTCGCAAGTTTTCTTAATTCATTTTATACAAATTGGCTTACACATTAATTTTGAGGGAAGCCTAATATTTTCTTGTGACGATCAAAATTTCCAAAATTTGACTTCTAATACGAAACCCATTTTTGTTCTCGTGCAAAAATCATTTTTTGTTTTCCTGTTCGAAAGGCTTCGCTGAACTGTTGGTGTTCCTCTGTTTTTCTTTGACCATCGGAGGTGGTTTAAAGTTGGAATGGAGGCGAAATTGACGAATCAAAGGTGGTGGAGAGGGACTGGAGAGAGTCAACGTTTTTGACTGAATGAAAAAAAATTAGAGGGGGGTCAAACTTCTTGAATTAAAACCAAAATACAATTTCAAAGAGAATGATTTTCTATATAGAATATAGCACTGGTGTTTGATAAAATGTCAATATAAGAATGTAAATGTTTCATGCCTTATTTTTAATGTGATCGATTAGAAATATTGTTATCCTAATTCTAATTTAGTCGGTTGATTTCTATCTAGGATGCCAAAGTTAACTTTGAACCCAAATTTGATGATTGTCTGTAAATGATACAAGGCTTTGAGTATTTGTATCGCAGTGACAATGTGCAAGGAAAGCTGGCCATTGTGTAATAACAGCCAAATTTGATCTAAAATCGTCTACCATATCCACTGGTAAGACCTGAAAAATACTTAGAGTGCTTTCTCTGTGATTTTTTTTAATCTTTTTTTTTT